AGACGATGGCCTCCGGATTTGGGCCGTCTGGATGGGCTCTTTTTTTGGTTTTTGAGCTTATCAAGTTTTCTCACTGCCGTGTTTGGTTTAAGGTTTATTCCCCCATGTACAGAAAGAATTCCCAAATTTCACCGGAATACTCACAATGAGTGGGTTTCACTGTGTATTTGAAAAAAACAATTACTACTTGTACACCGAGGTCGATCCCTCCTCACAAAAGATGAGGGCCCATATCCAATAAAAAATTCATGAGCCCCCCTATCATGAGGGGGGGCTGTACATCGGGGTGTCAAACCCGATGTACAAGTAGCAAAATTCTTTAAAAAAAATGTGTGGGCCCCACTTTGTGTGAGTGTTCTGTTGCATTTCTGTGGGTTGTGCTTCTGTACATGAAGCACAACTCTTGGTTTAAATAAAAATCGATTTTTTAGTTGATTTTGATTAAAGTCGATAAAATACATGGTTTAAAAATTACGGTAAAAATGAAAAGTGGGATTAAAATTAATTATTAATTGTAACTCAAATTTTAATCAAAATTTTTATGGATTTTATAAAATATGTGATTATAATATTCGACCTCATATTGTTTTTTCCACTTTTTGACGGAAAAAAGTAATGGTGGACATTGTGTGATTTGATTTGGGTTTCTCGAGTCTCAGATCAATTTTTTTTTGTTATAATTGTGAAAATGAACAAGTTGATTCGACAAGAAAAAAGAAATCAAACTTAATTCGAATCGATCAATTCAGAGCGATCCTTATTTTCTCATGGAACCATCGGTTCTAACAAGTCTAAATATTGTGTATATTTTCTTATTTCACTTTTATATTTTATGTTTTAAACAATAAACTCTTAATTATTATGAATATATATGAATATATATAAATTATAAATTTAAAAAGAGATTATAAAAAATAATTACAATTTTATTAGGAGATTGTCTAAAAATATTATTGGATAGTGAGTTGTGAGCCTTGTGACTGTGATGATGTGCATCTAGTTCCATTTGATTCCTCCGCTTTCTTTTATTTCAAAATAGTCATCAACCTTTATGTTTCCTTCCAGATTAGTCCCTCGTGTATTGAAATAGAAGGTGGTTTTGGCAATGGAGATCACATGATTCACATTGTCAATAAGGGGCGGACCCAGTTCAGGCCCAGTGCAGGCAGATGCCTGCACTGGCCTTTGGGCCGCCCCCAATTTTTTCTACAACCCAGTACCAAAAAAAAAAAAAACAAATGGACGAATTATTTGGCCCAAAATCTATACAAGCCCTGGCCGTCCAGCCTGATGAAGGATTTCCATTGTACCCGCAAACAGAGAAGAGAATACGCTGTAGCCTGTACGCACCGGCGCCGCACGCCCCCTCCGACTCCGAATCCAAGCCGCGTCGCCGGACTCGCCAGACTGCCAGAGCCCAGACTCGCCCCGTCGCCCTCCCCTGCCTGCTATTGGATTTCAATTCGTATGAGGTAATATTATTGTACTTTGATGCAGATTTCATTCGAGATTTGATTGAAAACTTCATTTCTTTTAGAAGAACCTGGTTGATTTATATTTAATAGAGGGATGAAATTTGTTTGTGGAGCTAAATTTTGATTGGTGGAACTAAAATTAAAATTCAGTGCAGAATGTATTGAGAAACTTTGTTCTTTTCTTGATTGAAAACTGAAACTGCATCAGCAATAGCAATAGCATTCGAGTTTTCTGAAACTGAAACTTTGTTAATTTCATTCGAGTTTTCTGTTCTATTGCAATAGCAATTTTGGTAGTTCTATCGCATGTTAATCTTCATTGTAAAGTGGTGAAGTCGAAGAGCCTTACTGCTTGGAGGCCTCTTTAATCTTTATGTAGTTTTGATGACTGATTCTGAGAAGGCGGAGTCCGCGGAACAAGATAAGGATATTGGAGAAACATATATTCTTAAAGATTGATAATGATGCAATTGTACAAAGATATCAAATTATGAAAACTCGTAAAGAATAATTGTAAGGTATTTCATTTTAGTATAA